AGGCATAGCCCACACAGGAACCTACCTTGCTCCAACATGAGCTACCATTCTTGGTGTATCCAAACGCATCCACTCCAACAAATATCGTGCAATCAAATCCTCCTAACCAATTCGCAACATATCACTTCGGCTCCTTCCTAAACATACCCCATACTCAAAAACCCACCGGGTCTTGCCACACACCCTACACTATACTCTCCCCGCCTAGCTGCCCCGCAACCTCCAGTCAATACACAACGCTACAGCTGCCAGATCCACTGCAGTGGCTAACACGCAGTTGCCCAAAATCTTGGATGTATGCGCACCCTCTACGTGGCAATGTACGCTGAACGCTACACAGCCTAGCATGAACCAGCGAGCAGTACGCAGCCTCCATTACCGCGCACGCACGCGAGCGCATGGCTTGCTCAAACGCATCACTAGATACCTGCTCAGGCGCAAAATGACACAGCGCTAGACCTACACAACCCCTGCATAAATCGCTACTATCTTCGTCACATTCTGTTCCCTCGCCTTTCTTCATGCATGCCCCAGAAGCCCATATAACGTCGGCGCGTCGGCGCTACCCCAAAACATTGAATGCGCTCACCGCCATGCGCAAAACGGGATTGCGACTGTGGACTGAGCACCAACCCATTATTTCACACCCCTTTACCTTTAGCTCCCTGATACTCCTCATGATGTTGGTGCGCCCGCCAACGAACCCAAGAACCACCTCACAGCTGCACGCACCCAACTGTGAAACACAGCACGCAACGTAGCACAGCACTCAACGCCTTCCACATCTGCCTGCAACTCACCACCGTCGGCAGCCAATGCCTTCAAACACTCCAATTGGCATCTAGTGCCATGCACCCGGCTCTACACACTGGAGGTGAAGCTGACCGCGGGATCCGAAAAATGCGCGACTAGCAAATGTCCCTCCTCTCACTTCTTGGGACTAAAACGGCTTCACCGGTCACGCGCACTGCCCCTCACTACATGCCTAATGGTTCTATACGAGGGCAGTGTTTCATCTTTCCCTGAGCATCCCTGCACGATTTGATAACAGCCTAGACTCTGCACAGCCTCACCAGCACTCTCCAAAGACAAGGGGTCGCCCAAGCCATCTTTGCGTCACGTCAACACGCAACGCACAAGCTGTGTCGCCTTGCAAACACTGCTGCCAGCGCAGCTGCATTCCACCTTCCACTCGATGCGCCCGTTTCACACTCCTGCAAGCTCCCAATCTAACCCTGGAATTGAAATCTTCAGCAGTTGCCGCAGCCAACACACCAACGCAAAGAGTACACCGCTGCAACTCGTTGCCACTGAGGCACTCAAAAACGCAAATGCATGGGCATTTAGGCAGGTGCCATGATGCAAATGGCGTGGCCTACACAACACCTTTTGCACGCTTCTTTATCCACGAATGCTCCCATGCTACGAGCATGGCTGCGCAGGGCCTCCACAACCAAACGCAGAAGCCATGCTTGCTATCGTTCCCGGTTAGCTCGCCTCCTGCTACAATGATTCTCTGCTCGGCGGTCTAGTGCAAAGACGCACCGCCTGTTCGACAAGCCAACGCGCATCATGTAACACACGAAAAACTCGCCTCAGGCTCAAATGCTTTGCTAGCACCGACGCAGATAATTCCCTCCCACAACCTGCATGGCTGCTTTTGAGCATGGCTCTCCTCCAAACAGTTCTCCTCCAGTCGCTCGTCTACGACATACAACGTCAGCAAATGTGGGGGCCAGCTGCCTTCCGCTGGCGCACACTTGTGCGCCTACATGTGTGCAAACGTCCCTTGCCTCCTCATTGCACAACCACACGCCAGCAACGCAGGTGCTACACCGCTTTCTACACGCGCCTCAGTTCGACGTACGCACGGCCACATCCTGCGCACAAATGCATAGTGCAAAAGCGGGCCAACATAGTGACTGCGAAGTTGCTCCGCATCAACTGTCGCGTCTGAGTTCCTAGATCCTCAATTCACCACCGCTACACGTATCCGATATCCTTGCTATCAACCTACTTCCGCATATGCTGAATGTGTGCATTCGTATGTAGCCCTCAAACTTCACGATGGCCCAACGACATGGCTATGCCATTCTACAAAGAACGCATGCCTTTCCGCAGCAAGTGATCCACTCTGCTCCGCCTCCTCAACGTCGGAAATTTCACGTGCCAAACAGCTCAAGTGTCTCAAATGGCGCTGGTGTTAGCACAGCCCCAACCAACCCTGCAAATAGCAAAAGCCATGTATTGCCAACTTCACCATTTCAAGTGAGCTGCAGCTTGAGGAACTGTGTCAGCCTTCCCCACAACACCGCCCCTTGAATAGAGCACGCGTGCCGCAAGTTTTGACATTCTGGCGACGCACGTCCTGCAACATATTGGTGTCCCTCAGGCGGCTCGCTTTACATTAAAAGTAGGCGCCGTCACGAACAATGCGCATACGCTACCCATAAAACGCATGCCGCGCATGCGGGGCGAAACTCGCATAGCCCACACAGGAACCTACCTTGCTCCAACATTAGCTATTATTCTTGGTGTATGCAAACCCATCCACTCCAACAAACATCGAACAGTCAAATCCTCCTAACCAACTCGCAGCATACCACTCCGGCTCCTTCCTAAACAAACCCCATACTAAAATACTCACCGGGTCTTGTCACACACCCTACACTATATTACCCTCACCTAGCTTCCCCCCACTCGCCAGTCAATACACAACCCTACAGCTGCCAAATCCATTGCAGCGTTCGGCGCGCAGCGGCTCCTGCTCTTGCATTTATACGCACGCCCTGTGCGGTAATACATGCTGAACGCGACGCAGCCTAGCATGAACCAGCGAGCACTACGCAGCCCCCATTACCGCGCACCCACACGCATACGAGCGCATCGCGTGCTCAAACGGATCAATAGAAACCTGGTTACGCACCAAATGACACACTGCTCGACCTACGCAACCCCTGCATAAGCGTTTACTATCTTCGTCACATTCTGTTCCCTCGCGCTCCTTCACGCGTGCCGCAGAAGCCCATATAACGTCGGCGCGTCGGCGATACTCCTAAAAATGAGTGTGTTCAATGCCATGCGCAAAACGGTAATTCTGAATTAACCACAAACCCCTGATTTCACACCCCTTTACCTGTAGCTCCCTGACGTTCCTAATGATGGTGGCGCGCTGGCCAACGAACCCAAGCACCACCTCACAGCTACGCGCACCCAACTGTGAAACGCAGCACACAACGGAGCACAGCACGCAACGTAGCACAGCACTCAACACCTTCCACGTCTTCCTGCAACTCACCACCGTGGGCAGCCAATGCCTTTAAACACTCCCATTGGCACCTAGTGCCACTCACCCGGCTCTGCACACTGGAGGTGAAGCTGAGCGCGCGATCCTAACACTGCACGACTGGCAAATGCCCCTCCTCTCACTTTGAGGGACTGGCATGCCTTTACCGGTCGCACGCAGTGCCCCTCACTACATGCCTAACGGTTTTCTAGGAGGGCAGTGCTTCTTCTTTCCCCTGAGCATCCGCGCATTGCCGGAAAACAGCCTAGACTCTGCAGAGCCTCACCAGCACTCTCCAAAGTCAACTCAGTTTTCTCGCTGCCCTTGTGTCAGGTCAACACGCAACGCACAAGCTGTGTCGCCTTGCTAACACTGCTGCCAGAGCAGCTGCATTCCAACTTCCACTCGATGCGCACACCTCTCTCCCGCAAGCTCCCAACCTAACCCTGGAATTGAAATCGTCAGCAGTTGCCGCAGCCAACATACCAACGAAACGAGTACAACGCTGCAACTCGTTGCTACAGAGGCACTCAAAAAGGCAAGTGGATGCGCTTTTAAGTAGCGCCCATGATGTAAATTGCGCAGCCTACAAAGCACCTTTCGTGCCCTCCCATATTGACGAATGCGCCGATGTTAAGTATCATGACGGCGCAGGGCCTCCACAACCAAACGCAGAAGCCATGCTTGTTATCGTCCCGGTTAGCTCGCCTCCTGCTACAATGATTCTCCGCTCACGTCTAGTGACAAGACCCACCGTCTGTTCGACAAGCCAACGCGCATCATGTAACACACGAAAAGTTCTCCTCAGGCGCACATGCTTTGCTAGCACCGACGCAGATAATTCCCTCCCACAACCTGCACGGCTTCTTGCGCGCATGGCTCTTTGCCAAACAGTTCACCTCAGTCGCTCGTATACGACATCCACCGTCAGCGAATGTGTGCTCTAGCTGCCTTCCTCTGGCGCACACGTGTGCGCCTACACGCGTGCAACCATCCCTTGCCTCCTCTTGGCGCATCCAGACACCAGCAACGCAGGCACTGCATCACTTTCTACACGAGCTTCAACTCGAGGCACGCCCATGTCCAACGCCTAAATCCAAAGTGCAAAAGCGGACCAGCATAATGTCCGCCAAATAGTGTTGCATCAACTATTGCCACTGAGCTGTTAGACCTTCAATTCACCACCGCTTCACGTAGCCAATAACCTTCCTATCAACCAACTGCCGCATCAGCTATAACCTGCCGGGCGTGCATCTTCACATCCTCATGCAGCCCTCAAGCTTAACGATGGCCCAATGCCATGGCTATGTCATTCTACAAAAAAACGCAGCAAATGCTCCATTCTGCTCTGCCTGCTCAACGTCGGAAACGTCACGTACCAAACAGCTCAAGTGCATCAAATGGCACTGGTGCTAGCACCGCCCCAACCAACCCTCCACATTGCAAAAACCATCTATTGCCGAATTCACCAATTCAAGTGAGCTGCAGCTTGAATAACTGTGTCAGCTTTCACAAAAAAAAGGCTCCTTGACCAGAGGACGTGTGCGCCAACGTTTGACATTCTGGCGACGCACGTCCTGCAACATATTGGTGTCCCTCAGACGGCTCTGTTTACCCCAAAGGCCGCTAGAGCCACGATCGATGCGCATAGGCTGCAGATGAGAAGCGTGCCGCACATGCGGGGGAAAATCCGCATAGTCCAAACAGGAACCTACCTTGCTCCAACACTAGTTGCCAAAGGCATGCACTCCAACAAAGTTTGGCCAGTCAAACCCTTCTAACCAACTCCCAACGTACCACTTTGGCTCCTTCCTAAACAAAGCCCATTCTCAAAAACCTGCCGCTTCTTGTCACACACTTTATACTATATTACTCACACCTAGCTTCTCCGCACCCCCCAGTCAATACACAACGCTGCAGCTGCCAAATCCAGTGCAGTGTTTAACACGCAGCCGCGCCTGCTCTTGCATTTATATGCACCTCCTGTGTGGCAATATACGTTGAACGCTACGCACCCTAGCATGAACCAGCGAGCAGTACGCAGCCTCCATTAACGCGCACGCACATGCGCGCATCGCTTGCTCAAACGCACCAGTAGATATCTGGTCACGCACAAAACGGCACAGCGCTCGACCTACACAACCCCTGCATAGGCGTCTACCATCGTCCTTGAATACTGTTCCCTCGCGTGCCTTGATGAATGCCTGAGGAGCCCATATAACGTCGGCGCGTCGGCGGTACTCCTAAAAATGAGTGTGTTCAACGCCATGCGCAAAACGGTGTTGCGAGTGGCTGTTCTGCTTGCAGCGCCCCAACCAATTCTGCAGATTACATTACAAAGAGCAGCTCTTGCCAACATCTTTAATTCAAGTGAGCTTAGGCCAGTGCACATGCATCCCAAAACTTGAAATGCTGGTGACGCACTCCCTGGAATCCATTGGAGCTTGCGGTGGCGGTTAGATTTCCTTAACATTCGTTGCACACAGCGCTCCGTCCCTTCATGCTGCCCAGTCCGGCATACTGGCAAATCAGTCCCCGAGTTGCATGAAGTGCTAACGTCCAATTCAGTTTCCATAGGTAACCGACAAAAGAAAGAAAGTGACGCACCGCAGGTTCCTGCTGGGGCGTCTCGTGGGCTACGGCATGAGCATTTTATTCTCTGGCATAATGCAAATAGCACGCTACACGGTTCGTCATGCATACTGCAGTGCTGAATGCACGGAGGCCAGCTAGGTCGGTTGCGTTATACCTCCACAGCTACATGTCCGGTCTTGGGAAGGCGCTTGACGAGTTGACGTTGCTTTCAATCATACAGTATATACCGGCTGTAAACGAGATGGAGTGCCGCCTGTTCGGAACTCTTGCGCCTGCATTGTGAATTACATAGGGTGCCTCGCACGTTAAAACGGCGGCTAGAACAACGCGGATAGGTCCCCCGCAAGACAGGCTGAGCTGCACCTGCAAATCAGTGGCAAAAATGCATGGGGCAATCCAATTGCTGGTTTGTCATGAGCAGGATTTTGAAAGGTTATCAGACGCTCACCATGCAGGCACTCTAGCCGTGACCGCGAACGTTCAGTGTCTTCCACTCCGAACTCTCCACACGCCTTCACCCAGTTATCCATACTGTGCAACAGCCAAGGTGCCAAAAGCAATTATTACACAAACCAGGAAGATATGGTTCGCCGTCCGCAGTAGCCGCCTGCCTCCCCGAAGATGCACGAACAACCGTGTGTACCAGGCCAGTTGAAAACACCCAATTTCAGCCAAAGTTTTGACGCAGCCTAACGCATGTCTCTTATATTCTCTCTCGCACAAACCTTCCTGACAGACAGAACCGTCATCACCTCACACTATGCAATTTACGAGCTCGCCGCTCAGCTTGGCCACACTGGCCAGGCAAAGCAAAACAATTAATCGATGACGCGACAGCCCCCACCCCTAGTGGCAGCTACGTGAGAGTCTGTTCACCTTGCGCGTGTACGCACATTCTGCACAGAAGTGTACACTACGCGGTATGCAGGCCAGCATGGAGACAGCGAGCTGAACGCCACTCCCCTCATTAACACATAGACACACGCGCTTGCTCGAAAGCATCCATGGATACTTCGTCACGCGCGCCATGGCACACCGATAGAGCAGGACAACGTAAAGATCCACCTCTACTGTACTCCATCCAAAAGATGTCCTCAAGTTGCTGTATGCATGGCTAGGAAGCAAAGAAGACGTCAAGGCGAAGTCGATGGTCCTTAACAGACATTCGGGCACACCCTTGCACAAAACGCTCTTCTAAATCTGGAATGAGCACCAACGCATGAAAGCATAACTATGTGGCTTCAATTTTCGACTACTGCACATTGCGGTGACGAGCTAGCCAATGGTCTTAAGTATCACCTCAACAACAGGCAGCCAGTTGTGAAGCACAGAAGACAGCTACTTACACATTTTTCTGCGGCTCGACAATGCTTGCATCCGGTGCCTTGTGACGCCACATTTAACAACTATTTAACAACTAGTGTCATGTGCGAGGCATTGCAGAACACAGGAGTTCCTGAACGCGCTAGTCAAGCGGTGTCTGCCTGCAGAACGGCCCCGCTTGCCACTGTCAAGAGCTTGAAATTCATGGCCAGGAATTGCCGCTGCCCAGCATTGAGTCCACAAAAAGCCCGCAGGCGTGCAATGTTTCACATTTTGTAGGGCATACGCACGCTATCGGAAAACGTAGCCTATTTCCTCGACCTACAGTAGCACCCTGCAGAGCCGCAGGGGCACCGTAACTAGATTCCCACGAGGCCTACGCAGTTGCCGGGATGTCGTCTGCACACTGCTGGAGCGCAGACGCATTTGTCCGCTAAACACACACACGCCGCTAGCCAGCACTGCATGCATCCTGGGCCAGCAATCCACCAAATAAACGAAAAAAAGCATCATTGAATACGCATCTCCAATTCAGCTAGCATAAGCAACTGACTAAAGAAAAGGATGAGCTGGCACCGTTTGCAGCTACGGCATATACACAGCAAAACGCAGGTTCACTTCAGTACCTGCCAAGATGCAGGTGGCACGCAAGAGTGCTTCTCACGCATCCTGCACTGTCAAATGCACCGAGGCCAGATGACGCTGCTGCTCAGGACCTCCATGCATGAAGCCCGCTTGTGAAGGTGTTCGGTGTTGTGCGTTGTTGTGCTGCAATGTATCTACGGCTATAGAGTCTTCCTGCGTTTGTGAAAGGGCAGGTCGTCTGTTCAGAAATCAGGAATAGATCATGCGAAGCATGTCGGAAGCAGGGCAGGTTCAAACGGCATCTGCCGCTGACGGCAGCGGGCACGGGCCAAGACTGCGAGGCTGCAGTGTGTGCAGCTCTCTCAACATGGTGGCTCACAGAGCAAACTTCCCGTCCTCCCTCAGCAACCCTCCGTGCGGTTACCCCTTGATTCTTTTTACTCCTGCCGGACGTCAGTGCTCTGAAGCATTGAAAAACCAGGAGTGCCACGCCAGCAACGCAGGCAAGCAGAGAAACTATTGCAACTGTTCCTCTAGTAATCTTGAACGTGTCTCTTCCTGAGTACAAGTTATCATTTTGAATAAAAAGCTCATGCTGCGGATTAGGTACTTCAAAGCCGGAGCGCTGAGCGTCTATTAGCTGCCCGACCTCGCCGAGATCAGCAAGAGGCGCTTGAGGACCGAAAATAAAGGGAACGGAAACATGCATTTTCCCGTTAGCAACGATTGCTATGTTGATTAGCAAGAAAAATGCTGTCCGTATGTCGATACATGTTTCTGGCGATGTGTCCTGTTAAGGCATTTCGGCGCACATCTGCGCTGAATGCATGCTGTAGAGTTTCGATGATCGATGCTCATGCGGGGCCCAGGATTATGTTAGTGCCTTGCCTCGGACCACCGAGCAAAAGGTTAATAGATACCCAATTTACAGTAGTTGCCAATAGTGTGTGATATAAAATATGACTTTATACTGGAGACGATGGCCAACTCCCCTTGTGGGTTTCCTATTCAATATAGGCCGACACCGACACTGCCTTGGTGCGTTCGCAAAGAGAAAGCAGGCAGTTTATTTGTTTTTATTCGTACGAGGTAAACAACCAAGAGGACTTCAGTAATGCATAAATGGTAGGAGACATAAGGATACATAGGTGGGTTTTCGTGAGTAACTCGTGCCTCGTTGGGTTTGGACAGAAGCGGAGCTTCCGTCAGCTACCTTTTGAAAAGGAAATACTTGTACGGAGCATTCCTTTTCATGGATCTCCTACCGAGAGTCCGTGATCTTATCAGAGGTTCGTGAGTTGCAGTTGCAACCACGAAAATTTCACCCTTGTCTACAGTAACGCTGCAGAACTGCTGTACTTCTGCTCTAGTGCAGACTGCCTACTCAAGCCAAGTAGGTATTCATGTACCTGCTTCTGAGAGACTAAATTGCAAGTGTAGGTGCGTAGCCTGGTGCGGCGAACAGCTACAGAAGACGCAGCAGAAAGAAGCACAGAAGTGGAAAGCGCAGCAGCAGCAGAAGCAAAAGAAAAGTGCAGCAGCAGCAACAAGTGCAGCAAGAGCAGATACAGAAGCAAGTGTCAGTGTTCACTTCAGCAGTACTGCAGATAGTTCCTTGGGACTTTCCTTTGATGCTGACTGTTATGAAACCAGCAGCAGCTGCGTTGGCCTGCGGTTGCACAGTCATGGTGAAGACGAGCGAAAAATCGCCCCTCTCAGCCATCGCACTCTGCAAACTCATTCAAAAGGCCGTACGCCTTTTGTTTTAGCCTTTATGCTTGTTGCATCTGCCACCAATGAGCGACTTTGTATCTCTTTGGCCGGTTTCATCTAACATCCTGTTCCTGTGTAGCGTCTTCGCGATTTTCAATCCCTATGTTTCTCCGCTTCTGTATTTCTTCTCAACCTCTCTGTAATTCCCGTTGTCTGCCTGTACTTTGCTTTCTAGTGCTCTGAGTGATTGACTATTCAGCTCGGTCTACGGCTACCGGTTGCTGGCTTTATGCGTCTGCCAGACTTGCGTCCTTTTGTCTCTGCCCTCTTTTCTTCCTATCTTTCCCGCGGATACTTTTTTTCGTGGTTACAGTTTTGCTGGGGCCTTTACATTTCTTTCTTTGTTCCTGGACGAAGTTGTTCCCTTGGATGCTGCTTCAGGAGGCCTGATGACGGCCTTTGTCAATCTCCCCCTGCCCGTAGCAGCTTTTATCTGGCATTGTTTGTCCCTTCTGTTTCTTAGTGTTTCTCTAAGTGACTTTCCATGCCTCCGTGTGCTGGTCGTTGTGTACGCGTAGCTCCTGACTTGTCTGGCTGCCTCGGAGTCTCCCCGCCCTTGTTTTTCACCAGCAGCCGTCTGTCTAAATTGTTTCCAGCCTCCCGCAATCCGAGGCAGTCGCACTTCGTGAATGCCATAAAACAGCGGTATAAAGCTATTATTTTTATATTTATGTATTTAGGGTTCGGGGTTGTGTTCTTTGTAGAAACGCAGGGGAGAGAGAAAAGCAAGGGAACCATGTGTAAAAATGCACCCATGTTTCAGCATATCTACCAGCAAATGAGCCCGTAAAGGGGGGCTGTTTACGCGCTAATTGGTACAAACGGGTGAAGTCAACAAGGGACAGATGAAAATGGGCAAAAGGGGTAACCGCACCTGTACAGAAAACTCCCAAAGAATTGTTTCTTAGAAATACGGGTCTCAACAACCATAACGGTGGGGGCGGAACCAAGAGCACATGAACAAGCATACGAACAATCAGGTGAACAAACCGACAGGCAAACCAACGGAAATTACAGCCAAAGAGCAAGTGTTGGCGCTCAAACAAAGAAACGAACATAGAACGTGTCTTGGAAGCCTCAAAA